AATGCAGAATGTGTGTTTGTATGAGTGAGTGTATATATAATGCAGAGTGTGTGTTTGTATGAGTGAGTGTATATATAATGCAGAGTGTGTGTTTGTATGAGTGTGTGTGTATATAATTATAAAAATCACAGAATTTCATAGCCCCAAGTTTTACCCTCGACTTATCCACGAGGCATAGCATATTTCACAATTGTTGGTCACAAAACTGCACTCGACTTATACATGAGATCGACTTATACACGAGTATATACGGTAGTTTACTCTCACAAGTCACGTTATCCATTACCCCATTAAATAACAATTAACAACTGTCTCAATCACTATACAGAATTCATAGATTAGAATCTCATCCTTTTTGTTCCCCTACATTTCTTAAATGTCACATTACTTTAATCAAGGCAATTTTAATTAGGAGATAATCACTAATCCAAAACTTTACCACGATAACACTAAAGTTATTGAAGGGGCTCAACAGCTGAGGTACAGTACATGCAAAAATATGCATCTTTTACCTCTACAGAATTATAAATGTTCTTTAGAGTCCCATGCCTGCATGTGTGCATCTGTATAAGCTATGATGCTGTAGGCATAAAGTTACTAATGAAAGTGCATGGTGCCAAAGGTAAGTAGGGTAAGTAGGTGTAATATTGCTTTGATGCCACATTGTGCCAGCACCTGGGTGGCACTGCAATGTTATCATTGGATCAGTCAGAAGAGAAGGGGCAGAATAGCAGAATCGACAGAATTACAATAAACAGCTGCCACTGCTCTTTCTTCATCTACATTGTGCTATGTGGCCCAGAATAGACAGAAGGTGCTACCATTTGGAGCTGATGAATAGGTCCTAATAACTGTAACTAAGAGAATAAACTTCAATGCACGCTTTCTAAGTGAATATACTCTTAATAATGACATCACATCAAGCAGACACATTTTGGCTCTCTGAAGCAGTCACAGTTTGCCATATCAGACCATAGAAGTGGGGCTTTCCTTATTTATGTACTATATAAATCCACAGGTATTGACACAAAGTGAAATTAAAGGGAATGTTTAAAATAAAAATGTATGCAAATAGAAGACATAAAGTGAAATTAAAGGGAATGTCTAGATTAAAAAAAAATTTTTTTTCATGCATGTGTTAAAATGTAGTTAAAAAGAATGCGTTTATTATGAATTTATTAGTTTTCAAAATAAAGTGTATAAAATCCTACATTTCCTTTGCAGCATACCATTGAAAAACATAGCATTATTAAATAATATAATACTGGATCTTACATATTTAAACAGTATATAAAAAAAAGAAAGAAAGAAAATATAAGGTGTGCGGTAAAAGTGTCCATGTATGTGTGTCAGTGTGTATCTGTATGTCTGTATATCTGTGTGTGTGTGTCAGAGTGTGTTTCTGTATGTCTTTGTATCTGTATGTGTGTCAGTGTGTGTATCTGTATGTGTGTCAGTGTACATGTGTATGTGTGTCAGTGTGTGTATCTATATGTCTGTATCTGTATGTGTGTCAGTGTATGTGTGTCAATATCTGCATGTGTGATGAGGAAAAATAGAAGAGAAGTAAATTTGCCTTTTCATATCCTGAGAGTGCCTGGACTTCTCTTCTATTTTTCTTCATCAAATATTTGGTTCCTGGTACTGTGTCTGGGTATCTGCATTTGTGTCAGTGTTCGTGGTTTGTGTCTGTGTACCTTTACATTTGTATGTGTGTCAATGTTTGATACACATAGTGACCTACATGCAGATGCACAGACCCCCCCCCCCAACCGCCCATCATGATTCCTTGTAGTGATTGTGTAATCATTATGCAATAATTGGAGGGCACAATAATTAAGTAATAAATTAAATGACATGGCTTTATCAGTATTGGCCTAGACTGTGACTTTGAGTCTATATGCAATGGAATTAACTTGGTTATCAGTAACTTAGTATATAACGGAGAGTATATATAACACAGAGCTGCGTAGCTGTCCTTTGAACAATGGAGGAAACAGAGAGCAATGGTTACAAGGGAATGGAGATGCTTAGTGAGGAATGAGCACTTGAGATAAAGTCTGTGAGTGAAAACAGAAGTTTTGGTTTGGAATGAGTAAATAAAGAGAGGCATTTATAAAGTTTACTGTTAGATGAACACTTAGTAACAAAGACTGTTGGAATGTGGCAATGGTTCAAAGGATGATCTGAGTGTGCGGTCAGGACTAGTGAGCTGGGGTTTGATACTGGTGTTGTAGCAATGTAACCGCAGGTGCCCTTATTTACCACTATAATGTCTTAAAGCATAGAACTTAGTAGGGCTAACCATACAGATATCTTAGCCATAATTTTATATAGTTAGTGTAAGAGATCCTCTATTTAAAATATATAAATAATTGAGAATACAATATAAAATAAGGATTGTCTTTGAAGCAATAACGTTTTGTCTTTTAGATATTTATTATATAAAAATATAAATATAGACATATAAAATCCATATAGCAGAGTTTATAGGATTAAACTAAATGCTTGCAAATATTAATAGGTTAACATACCCTTCTGAACATGTCATCATGTCAGCCTCTCTGTCATTTTAAGATGGAGCAGCATCTGTCTCCAAGTCTCTCCTCTGTGTCTTAAAAGTACACCTATTTATACCTTAGGTGTCTCCATTTTAGGGTTACCGTAGTTCATATATGAAAAAGTAACACTTCTTTTACTTTATTCATTTTAGGACCTCCCTTAACTTGGCAAAAATACAAGTCCAAAACTAAAGGGTGTATACGTCATGGAAATTTTCCTGACTTAGTTCAAGATGGCATCTTAAAGTCTGGACATCCTTATCTACTTAAGGTTACTACAGTATATTGTGTACTGAAAGAGTCGTAGTATAGCCTTGAAGCTTGTTTATGCATTATTGTTATTGTAATTCGTCTGGGACAAAATGGCACAAACCTATTATGCACTGAGGTTATTGCTTAAAGAAACATCTATTAAAACAATATGTTCCATTTCTAACACCTTGTCAATTTGCAATATCTCTTAAAGACAAAGTACACAGTTTAAGAAATACAACATTTCATTCTAAAACTTGTAATATTTGCATTTTCCCATAACAGCAAAGCACAAGGACAATCTGTGAGAGTAGTCAGTTTGTGGTTGGTGGGAAGCTTGAGAGGCAGTAGGCAAGCAGGGGTGATTCAGGAGAGTCAGGATCGAGAGCCTGAGTCAGGATCCAACAAAGGAGGACAACGATAATTTGTGAATAATTATGTATTCAATCATGACAACACTGAGCAAGGAATGAGGTTATGTTAACCCTTACTTAGAACATTTCTGACATGCCCCCCTTCTCCCCCAAAAAATTATCTTCTACATTCCATTCCCCTTTTTATGGCACTAGGAACGGAACTCGGAATCACAAATCAAATTAATATGCTCATCTTGTCATTTGTTCAATAATACTACCATATGGTGTTCTGGAGTTACAGAATTAAGATGACCCAGCAGTCAGCCCAAAATGTAATATATTGCAGTTTGAGAACAAATGCACAAGCCTATAAAACATCAACATTTTCTGTTTAGTGCATAAACCATATACTAAACCATATAATTTATATAAATAGTGAATCAAAATATTTTGAAACATCTATATTTATTTAATATATAAAGTGTGGGATGAAAATTGGGTTAGAAATCAGCATTAACTTGTAAATTTACACAAAGTTTCCAAACATCTCCGATATGTTCGGTAATATTTGTAACAAGCTGCATGCAGTTTGTCACAAAATATTAGTAATGTATGGTGTTATTTAGATTTATTCAATCTCAATATATTCCTTATTCTTGAAAATCAAATTCTAATTGCTTTACGTAGTTATTCAAAACATGACTTTATGACTTCTATATTTAGCTTTGTGAGAACAATCTGTCCTTCAACTTTTATAAACAATTTGTGACTGTGAGATGTCTCCTTGCAGTGAGAAGTTGTGAATTCTAAATTATAATCAGTGATGGTGATCTCATCCTTTCTAAACTCATAAGTGCATTTTTGTTGGGCATAGAACAGTTTAGATCTTTTTACATTTGTCCTGGTTTTGTTTGTTTGTTTGCTTGTTTGTCTTTTAACTACTACTTGATTCTCTATAAATCTGTAATAACCTTTTACTATATGTGATATGACTAATTGTTTCATTCATTTATTCCACAGTAAGAACGATGCTCTAACAACAATAAAATGAAGGCTTAAACCAAGGTAAGTGTAAAGGAACACTATAGTCAAATTTGCAACAGTTTACTTTTCAGTCCCCTAGCCTTCTTCTTAATTTTTAGATGTATAGACCACTTCCCCCTCCCCCATATTTCAATTAGAAAAGTTATTAATATAACAACTTTGCTCTATTCCAAATTTAAGATCTGCCGTCCACTCTGCCCCCTTTTGCAGAGCTCAATCAAATGCTTCTTGTGGCAACCACCCGGATGGGGACACGGGTCTCGCCACCAAGGATGTCCTTTTTCCCCTCTCTGGAACTCTGCTGTGCCAGATTCAGTGACTATAGCTGCTGAGTGATTATGGCTGCTGAGTTTTCCCCACAAACATTAACCAAGACTTAATGCTGGGAGTGAAGGAGTAAACTGGTTTAATGGGACATGATACACGCAATTAATACACAGACCCCCAGCAGGGGGTTTCCATACAGTTCAATGCAGACTCCTTCCTGGCATCCCTGTGACTGGGAGATAATTGAGTGTACTTTGCTCAAAATAATTATCTCCCAGGCACAGAGGTACAATGAAAAAATTTAAAACACCCCAAAAAACACACAATATTACAAAGGACCCCCACAAGTTCTATATCCTCAGATAGCCTGGATCTGAGCGCCCAAAGTGTCCAATAGCGCTCAGATCTCACGAATACAGCCAAATCACCACCGGGGTAAAGTTTTGACCAAAACTTTCAGGAGTCCCAAAACAAATAAAGTACCTAACAGATTCTCTGGTTCCTAGGTAGCAATTGTTCGCCTAATTTGTGCAAATAATCCTACTGAACTTCACTCTCCTGAGATGCTTGAAAAAGAAGCAGGCGATGATAGAAGTTCAGCGGTGTTTGCGAGTTATTCTGTCTGATTTAAGTTCCATACACTCGACGTCCGAACACCACTGCCTGCTTTCGTGCGACAAGATGGCCACCCAGCAGAACACTTGAAACAATTAGGTGTGAACCGATGATGGTTCACATGCAAGAGAGGTCAATAGGGTTTACAAGCTCCAAGGTGGGCTTAGTACGGGGGGTATAACAAGGGAAAATTTGTGGTTTTGTTCGGTCACTGAACAGGAACGGAAAAAGCATACGGACAAGTATTTTCAGTGACAGGGTGTTCTGTCACATTCCTCTCAGGGAAGTGTCAGTTTTGTCATTACTCCATGTGAATTCCTCATTCTGTAGGGCAGTACATTTGTATTATACCTCTTATAAATCTCAATATCCCAATTAAAGACCCTCACTTATAGCTATATGCAGATTGCACATGGCCCTAACAGCAAGATAAAACCTGGAAATGAATTTGGAAGAAAGAATATGCATACATCTTTTCCCTTTTTCCAACACAATATTATAATTTTGAGCACAGTATTAAAACTAATAAAAGCACAAAGGGTAAAAAGGAAAATGTAAACATCTGTTGATTCTGTGCATCTTTTTAAATTGGGTTCAGTAATTTGCTATTTTGCCAAGTACTGCCTTGATCAAAATGCAGCACTTGTAGTTAAAGGAACACTACAGGGTCAGGAACACAAACATGTATTCCTGACCCTATAATGTGTTAAAACCACCATCAAGCCCCCCTGGGACCCTCATGCCTCCCTAAATATAGTAAAATCTTACTTGTATTCAAGCCTGAAGTTGTAGCTCTGCATGCTGTTTACCTCAGAACAGCAAACTACCTGCTGACATCATCAGAAGTGGTGGCCTGATCCAATCACAATGCTTCTCCATAGATTTAGCTGAGACTAACAAGGAGGTAGATCAAGGGCAGAGCCAGCACAATTCAAACCTCAGTCTGTCACACACTGACCCATGCATCAGTCTGCATGGGTCAATGTGTGCGTCAGCCTATGTGTGTCATTGAGTGTGCGTCAGTCTGCATGGGTCAGTGCGTGTGCGTCAGTCTACATGGGTCAGTGCGTGTGCGTCAGTCTGCTTAGGTCAGTGTATGTCAGTCTGCAGTCTGAGTGGGTGGAGTAAATGGGGTTGAAAATTTTTTTTTTTCCCTAGGGCAGCAAAAATCTTTGCACCGGCCCTGGTTGAATTTGTGTTTAATAAACCAGTTTTATTTACCTTTACCAGATTGCATTGCAATGCTAATTTATTAGAAGCTAACACTTGTTAAACACTCTTTACAGCAATTTTATGTCAAACATGCAGTTTACCAACCTTGCCACAATGCCAATCAGTAAAAGATTCCAAACTGAGAGAGCGCTCCATAGGAAGCCATAGAAACTGTAAAGCTGTAATTTAATGAATATCGTTTCATTTTCTGTAATAAAATAGCTTCTTTCTGTGTGTTTTTCCAGTTGATTGGAATAATTATTTTATGTATATTTCTTCTTGGGTAAAAGGCTCGCCAGGTTGATATATGTCTATATTAATCAAAAATACTAATACGCAATCTGAGTTACGGTTTCTTCAGGTTTATTCAGTTACTGATACATAATAAAACAACAAAGGCTGTTACAGGATAATGGATGTTCAACAGAAAATGGTAATTGCTGGACTCCTGAAGGGAGAGTTTTAGTCTACATAGTTAGACAGCCAGACAAGAAGAACAGCCTTGTGCAGCAAGCAGCGAGCAACAGCAAGACCTTGTGGTCCTTTGACCCCTATTCTATATAGCTATGACCAGTGGAGTACACACAACCCATGGGGCCCCGGTGCGAAACTGACCCATGGGCCCCCCCCCCCTCTATCCTTCTAAATCCCCCCCCCGACAGACACACACACACACACATACATACAGAGACACACACACAGACACATACATACAGACACATACATACAAAGACACATACATACAAACAGACAGACAGGCACACATACATACAGACAAGACACACATACATATATACAAACATACAGACAAGACACACATACATACAAAGACACATACATACATAAAAACAGACAGGCACACATACATACATACATACATACACACATACATACAGACAGGCACACACACAAGACACACATACATACAAAGACACATACATACAAACAGACAGGCACACATACATACAGATAGACAGACACAGACAGACAGACACACACATACAAAGACATACATACAAACAGACAGGCATACATACAGACAGATAGACACAAACACATACATACATACGTACATACAAACAAGCACACACACACATAATATTTAAATCACCCTCCTGTTTCCTACCTTTTAGGTGCAGGAGGGTGACTTCCCTGGGGTCCAGTGGTGGCTCAGGTTGATGGAAGTCAGAGTTCCCAATCTGACTCCCTCTGCTTCCTCCCACACGGGCTCTCAGTGATAGCTGGGAGGAGTGACGGGGAGTCACTTTTTCCCAGCGTGTGATGATCTCGTTACACAGGGGGCCCAGTCAGCACTGCTGCGCTGTTAAAGCACCGCAGCGCTGACCGGGCCCCCTGAAATCCATACCCATCGGGTGGCCCTGACAGCATGGGCCACCTGATGGGCACCTTAGCATGCGGCTCTGGCGGTTTGCCGCGTGGGCCAGGGCCGCAAATGATGATGGCGGGCACTCGGTCGCAGGAGTCTGCAGGGCGGTCGGCCCCCCTGGGTGACGGGCCTGGTCGCAGCTGCGACCCCTGTGACCGCTATATGTACGCCATTGGCTATGACCATTATAACGTTGGACCTTTTAAATATAACCCTAGCAATATTAGGACAAGACCCCCAATTACCACATTCCAGAGTTCTCATGGTTCAGCATAGCAAAGTATCATCTTTTCTTTATAACCCATTAGACATCCATGCATACTATAAATATAAATAGTCTAAAAAAAAAAACATATTTTTACTTTTTGTGCATGAATAGTATTCCTAGTTAGACCAAGTGCAATATCTCACTAAGCAAGCTAGTCTAGTTAACCCCTTCAATGCAATTATACACTGCTCTCATCTCTGGTGCTGAAAGTGTTATGTAGTTACATAATTATCTAGGTTGAAAAAGGACTAAATTCCATCAAGTTCTTTTATGTTGTTGATCCAAAAGAAGGCAAAAACCTAATTATAGCCATTTCCAGTTATGCCACAAAAAAGGGGGAAACATTTTTCTGACTCCATAATGACAACCAGATTTCTTCTTGGATCAGCAATCTGATTACATACATATCATTTATATTCTTGAATATTCTGTGTGTACAAAAAAGCATCCAAGCTTTTTAAAATTTCTCTAGAATCTGATAACACAACCTTTTTAGGCAGAGAGCTCACATTTTTAGAATCCTTTTACCTGCTGTGGCTAAAAAGCCTTTCTTCCAGTCTCAATGGTTGACCTATTGTCTATTCTATATGCCTGCTAATGAACAAGTTAGCACATAGTGGTTTTTACTGACCCTGTATATATTTGTATAGTGCTATCACATGACCAATTTTTCTAGCCTTTCCTCATAATTAATGTTTTCCGTTAACTTTATTAGTTTTGTAGCTTGTCTCTGCACTTTTTCTAGTCCTGCAATATTCTTCATTAAGACTGGTGCCTAAAATTGCACTGCATATTCAAGATGGGATGTTACCATTGATTTTGTACAGAAGTAAAATTATATTTGGTTCACATCAATCAAAACCCTTTTTTATACACGAAGGCACCCTACTACCTTTTGAAATGGCAGACCGGCATTGCATACTGTTGCTTAATTTGTGATTTATAATTGTTTCCAAGTCCTTTTTTTTTTTAAATCCAATTTATCTCTACCTAACTCTAATGTATAAGTGGCTTTTGGATTCCTTATTCCATGTTGCATGACTTTGCATTTCTTTGTATTAAATATCATCTGTCACTTGCCTGTCCATTCCCCAATTTATTCGTATCATTCTGTTGAGAAGTTATATTATGTTTAGACTGTATATTCTAACATAGTTTTGAGTCATCTTCAAAACACACAAATTACTTTCCAGGTCCACTTTAAGATCATTTTAAATAGATTAAAGAGAAGTGGACCCAGAAAAAACCCAGAGGCACTCCAGTTAAAACGTGTCCAATTTAAAAATTGTCCATTTACAACTACTTTCTGCACTCTATATTTAAGCCAGTGTTCTATATTTAAGAACATGATTTTTTTTTATCTAAACAGATCAACTGATTTAAATTTTACTAGTAATCATTTATGTGGAACTGTATGAAATGCCGTAACAAATACCAAGTAGACAGCTTCTACTGGAACACCCTGATTCTACTAACTTCTTTATAGAATTAAAATAAGTTAGTTTGGCATGACCTGTCTTTCATAAAATTATTTTGATTCCTGCTAATTATATTTTTGTTCAAAATTAATTCTTGAATATTATTCCTTAAAAGCCCTTCAGATAATTTTCCAACCACAGATGTTAAGTTCATATAAGTTCCCAACCACAGATGTTACACTTAAATGTAGGCACCACATCTGCTGTTCTCCAATCCTCTGGTAAAATTCCTGAAAAAGAAGAATCCTGAAAAATTAGAGTGGTATGGAAATGTCTACAATAAGCTCCCTCAGCACACATGGGTGAATACCATCTGGCCCCGGGACTTTATTTACATTAACTTTATGTAATTTCTGAAGCACTTTATATTGTGTTAACCAATAACATGCTTGCTGTAAGACTTTTATAACAGTCACAGATTCTTCTTTCCTATAAACGGAAGAAAAATAATTATTTAGAATTTCTGTCTTGTCCTGATCCTTCTTGATTAATTCACCTATCTCACTTTCCAATGGACCAACACTTTCACTCTTAACCTTTTTGGCATTAACTTACTTTGGGGGCGGCAGGGCTTGACTGCCATCTTGAACGGTTGCATCAAACCCAAGCTCCACAACTACTGGGATTTATCTAACGCAATTTGGCTATCCTGAGTGCTGATACAGGCTGAACTGGTACCTGACACTGGCAGGTTGTCAGTGGACACTGTGCCGAAGCACTTCAAAGCATGTGATGACGTGGTGTACCAGTGCTCTCAATTTGCAGTTTACCTTGGGCCCGGCTGCTAGTTGCGGCCTACTGCTTCACTGGAACCCTGCGGGAGAGACCTGTATCCCCCTTCCTCTGGGATTATCCCAGTCCCCACCACTGCAGCATTGGATACTCACCAACAACCATGGCATTTACACTTCTTGCTATGAGGCACGGCCCTACGAGCCATAAAATGGTGTCGACTGACATACCTATGCAAACCTCACTGAACAGAAGGAAGACTTCCTTGTTGACTTCAACAACCTCTGCACACAAATCTGTCTCAGGGTTCATTTACAGACCCAACATAAAAATTCTCTACCCCTGTCACTTCTGGTGACGCGGCCACATCGGAAGTAAGCCGAATCAGCTGTAGGTTGATTAACAGGTGTGGGGGGTAGGAGATTCTCCCAGTGAGCCATGCTCATGCACAGCATGCGCTCTGGTGCAGTAACATTCTGAGTGCGCATGCGGGGGCCGTGCCATTATATCAGAAGAGCACATGCGCATATTGTCACGGTGTGTGTATGCATGTGACAGCATCAGTTGTGTTGCACACACGAGCAGTAATGGTGGGAGTATTTTGATGGTGAGCTGCGCATGAGCTGGTCCAGAGCTGGTAAGAGATTTTGTGCAATACAGCAGAGATAACAATATTGTGGAGTAAGCGAGATTTGTACTAGTAAAACCATCACCATAAGATTACTTGACTTGTCTAGTAAACAGACATCATTGATTCTCTTCTACAGGAGATATCCTTCCAGCTCCCATTACTGTGCTTGGCTTACAATGGAATCCAGTGGTGGGGGTTTAATAGTCAAATACCGAATGAAGAACAACAAAAAAAAATCCATTAACACAGCAGAATACACGCTTGTTATGCATAAAAAGCTCACATTTCAATCATTCTTAGCTTGCAGAGTGTTTCCAGAACCCTCAGGTGGCATTATTTTCCCTTGATACATGGTTTACCATTATGGATCTTTTATATTACATGATATTTTAGGTGACAGTTAAACGCGAGGTAGGTTAGGTTAGACGCTATAGTCCCCAAAACAATGTTAACTAAATTAAGCCATTTTGGTGTATAGATCAAGCCCCTGCAGTTTCACTGTTCAATTTTCTACCATTTAGGAGTTAAATAATTTGTTTATGCAGCCCTAGTCACACCTCCCTGTGTAAGGCGCACAACCTTCCTAAACACTTCCTGATAATTGAGATCTAAGGTTAATATCCTGTATGTGATTAAAGTTCAATTAACAAAGCAGGAGGTAACTTGTAAAGTAAGTTAACATCTGAAAATTAAACCTTTTTTTTTTTTAAACGCAATCTGTGTCAGTCACAGCCAGGAAGGCGGTGGCAAGGGCTGCATAAACAGAAATAAAAGTGGTTTAACACCTAAATGACAAAGCATTACGCAGTGAAATTTCAGAGGCATTACATGCCTCTGAAAACTGCTTTATTTAGCTAAAGATGGTTTAGAGATAATAAAGTACCTTCAATGTTAGTATTTAAGTGCTGATCGGAGGTTAATGTAGTGTACTGTAGGCGTTAATATTTAGTGATACTGTAGTGTAGGGACAATGTTGTGCAAGGATTATGGACTATGAGGCCACTGGCATAGGTGAAAGTGTTAAAACACTAAATTTGTGGCATTTGCTCAGAGTTGTTCCGAAAATTGCTAGCAATATTTAGTGAGATTGTAGTGTAGCATAGTGTAGTAGTTAAGAGGAGAACTTTACTATAAGGACAGCACTGGATGTGCATGTCCCAGTGCTGTCCGAGACTAGAGAGAGTTACTATTTCAGCCGCTACAATAAACATGGCAGTATTGTTGCAGTGTAAGCATGCAGAAGCCAAACACAGAAATATTGGACACAGGTCTTCAGGAAGTAACAGGCCTTTATTCACATTACCGATCGGGTCTCAGATGAACTCCTGTTCCAACATTCTGAGAGACCAACACATGGTGTACATTCCTTATATAGCACTATAACTCCTCCCATTAATAGCTACACCCACATATACCTTTAACCAATCAATGAGCAGAATATAGACTTGTACATCTAGTCAAACCACATGGCTCATCCAAGACAAAGGAAATAAGTGCAATTTCAGTTCCTGCATTCCTGCACATGCTCAGTACACTGATGACAGTATCCTAGCTACATGTAGCTAACCAACTGACACAACATACACATATGCCACATGGAGATTTTGGCCTACTAAATTTTGACCATGCTGGAATCCCATCACATTCCCCCCTTTGATGCCTCTGATATAACATTATTCCAGATGCATCACCAATCACAGTTTTACCTACATCTCTCAAGTAGCCATTGAACCAGAGTAGACCTTGTAAGCATCTTAAAAACTCCTTCAACATTCTTCATCCTGAATATATTCTCTTCGGGCTAGGGGATCATATCTTCCAGACAGCCATTACATGAGCCGCTGTCTTTCTCTCTATAGTACTCTCTATAATACTACGTAGGGACCTTACCACTAGTGGAATTAGACAGGGCAGGAGGAGGCACAAAAAAAATATAATAAATTCTACTCCTCCTACTAATGTCTTAATTCCTCCAAGCTGCTCATACCAACTTCCAAACCAACTACTTAGGTTATACCCATTCCAGACCTGAGTAGGTACATGCTCAAATTTAACCATGTGGCTTGTAAGTTCAGCCACTGCCTGCCCTTCATCATCTATGTGCAGACAACAGTTACTTAGATTAAACTTTCCGCATACACCTCCTTCTACTGCTAGTAAGTAATCAAGGGCTAGCCTATTCTGGTATATGGCTGATCACATCTTGGTATTTTGCTTAGCTAGAAGATTAAGCACTTGAGCTGTCTCATTAGTAATAATCTCAACTACCGCCTGTAGTCTAATAATGCGGTTGAGCATATATAATCGGAGTTCTATATCCATAAGTGCCATCTTCTGCCCAAGTAGCAGGTCCATAATAATTAATAATACGTTGAGGGGGCCACTCATTATCTTCCCAGCTACCTATATTCAAGGATGCTCTCTCCCTTTTATGATTTACATCGTAAACCTTAACTCCCAAGGTCTCTCCTGTTTTGATTGGCAACAAGAAGAAGGATGGCTTTGGCATACCTAATACACATGCCCCTTCCCAATCTTGTGGTAACTCCGAATAAGTTTTCTTACCACAGATCCAGTATAAATTTGCTGGGGCTTTCCAACTAGATGTAGCCGATAAGTCAAACCATACCTCCTTTAAATGAGTGTAATTGGCAAACGGATTAGTAGGTTCCGAGACATTTGAAGCTGACCACCAAGTAGTATTTTAGTATTAACATTATAGGCTTTTTGTCCCAAGCAAGTTAGCTCACCTACAGACGTGTTATACATTGTCCCTTTCCTGGCTATACAAACATGACCTATAATGGAGGTTTTTAACCACCATTCCAATTTACTTCTAGTACTTACTTGATGATCAGACTGGAAAGGTATCTGTTGTTCATATGTCTCAGAGCCAGGGTACCATATTTCCTTTGCCTCCCATGGCCACTGGTCTCCCATATTAGTACCTCCACACACATAGCAATTAGTTACATTAAGACTACCTGCAATACCCTCAGCCAAATCAATAAATAGGTTGTTAACATTATGGGGAATTTTATCCTCAGTACTCATCTCCTCATAAAAGGAATGAGAAACCTGATGAGTTTGAGTTGCCACTGTCTCAGTTTCAAGACCTACATATATTATTGTTCCTGAATCTACTCCTGTGCCATATATTTGGAACCCAAACAGACCTCCAAACCTGTCAATAAAGTACTGCAGATTGGAAATGGTCATGTGAACGGGGTTACACACATAGTTTTACAGTATGGTGTGGTAGGCAACCTTTGGATAATCATATCTTGATCCACTGTTTTTCCCAGGTTGCCCAACCTACACATGACAAATAGGGGCAGAAGTTAGTCTCTATTTGGGCAATCAGGATCACTAGATCTTATACTGGGACATAAGTATTTATCATTAAACCCATAAGTTCGTTCCCATTTAAGATTACCACATACATTCCAAAGGCTTCCACTACCCGAAATCGCCTTACATGCATCAAATAGTAGAATACCCGTGGAATGTATGGTGCTTATCACAGTCCTATTTATTAATGTCCCCTGAAGGTTACTATTCCGAATTACCAACCAAATTGTACGGGGTTGGAAATGGGGATCAAAACATTTAGACTCTCCTGATATTGGCTTGCACACACTATAATCAATATCCAAATATCTACATTTAGATACAGATCCCTTACATTCATACTGTGAGTGCCAGATGAGAGTTTGGGATATTTGGTTACCTGTTTTAGTAGTCTTAATGCAACTATCGCAATTCGGTATGTCTGTACTCCTACCTTCCTGAAAAATCATAAAAATACTAAGACACAATAAAACACATTATTCCTGAAATCCTCATTTTTCTTCGACCGTGCGATGGCCTCTCAGCTTCCCGATTGTGAGGGCTGCAAGGATGTTGTTCTTCTGATCCTCACTTTCCTTCACAGAGATCCCTTCAAGATACTCTGGCTATGACACGTAGGCAGGTGGTCAGGCTTTATTATGGCCGTCAAAACACCTACTTGATGATCTTTGTAGACTTTTAATTAGAATGTCTCGATATCCCCTCGTCACTCCAACTAAGTTGCACGCTTCAACCGGGTCCTGCAAGGATTCTCAGGATCTGGAGTAGTTTGCCAAGAGTCTGCTGCTGGTTTAACCTTAGAATGATGAATCCAAGGAGTCACTTCCGCCACCTTTACAGCTGTTGGGGTAGATAAAAGAACAACATACAAAGGCTAACAGAATACACCCCGAGCTTTAACTCAATATGTATTGGTGGGATATTACGAGCAAGTCCTGGAGGATTATTTTCTTCCCATACTCCTGGAATGTCAAATAAGGATTCATCACTCTTAGGGTTAACACTTGTCACTATGGAATAGAAGCGCCATTCTTCTTCCCTTGGCACCGATATCACCATTATGCCTGGTAATCCCTTAAACTTCAGAGATGTTAATCCATTAGGTAAAAGGTTATCTGAGCTTAAAGCTTTGATAATAGATCTCGTCCTAAAAGTTGAATCGGACACTCTGGCATATATAGGAACTAATGCTTCACCACATGGCCTCCCAGAATACAAGTGCGACTCTTAAGAACCAGTCTAGCTGCACTTCTCCCAGTAGCTCCTATCACAGTTATAGTCTTCCCCGAAGGCGGAGCCACCATCTTAGTCACCACAGAATGTTCAGCACCTGTGTCGATCATGAAAGAACTTCTCTTTCCCCCTATTGCTACATCGACCATAGGCTCCGCTCGACCAAGTGGGATGGAGCCCGGTCGGTGTCAATAGTCTTCCATGATAGTGTCAGCCAGACCCACAAAATCTCTATCCTCTCTTTCTCTAGGTCTCTGCGTGGGTGTATGTATCTGTCTCCTTGAACACTTCCTCTACTATTCCCATCATTCCCTCTAAAACTTCCTCTTCCTCTATAACTACCACTATAACCTCCTCATACCCTTCTCTCTCCTTGTCTATCACCTTCATACTACTCTCTCTGTGGACACTCACTCTTCCAATGTCCCTCCTTTCTACAATACGCACATTAATTCCTACTTAAAGTCCCTTGCTCAGCCTATTCTCGTCTCCTCTATTCACTTCCCTGTCTTTCTACACTTAAGATAGCTACCGCTAGCATATCTGCCTTTTTCCTCATTTTACGCTCTTCCTCCATCTCCCTATTCATATATACTGTATTTGCAATCTCCATTAGCTGTATTATGGACATCCCTACAAATCCCTCTAATTTCTGTAATTTCCTTTTACTATCACCTTGGGCCTGGCTGACAAATGCTGAATTAATCATCCTAGAATTCTCAGGAGCCTCTGGATTAAAGGGAGTATACAACCTATTTGACTCAAGCAGTGTCTAATATGGGACTTCGGCAAGGCTGCTCAATAATAGGTTCCAGTCTAGGAGTAGTAAGATAATTTTATTAGTCAGCATTTGGTGGATGAAAAAACGTTTTTTTTTTTGTTTTTTTAAAGTGTTAAACCAAAAACCTACCAGTAGGTGTCACCAGAGGGTAATTGTATCAAAATAATCTTTATGGGTCTAATAAGAAAACTCAACTTTTAATATATTTATACATAAAATAAAACCTTATAGCAATAAATATATTAAAATAGGGTAAGCAATCCCACATCTATCTGTTATAAACAATGTATTATCAATGTAACTCCCGAAGATGGCCAGTAGGTGGCTTAGAGTGCCTCCCTAAAGTCAAATGAAACAAATAGACTTTAATTAATTATGTCCCTATTTTATTATTACTTATTTTAATCAATGTCCACCCTGCTAGCTAGGCTTGATTAAATCTTTAGTTCTAAGGTAAATTAAACATCTCAGTTTGTAGTTTAGTAAAAAGGGGACATTTTGGACAAAGCTGGGAGGGGCCCATCCAGTAACTAAAAAAAAACCAATATACCATCTGATACCATTGATCATTGATTAGGGGGAGGGGTAGTACAGAAATACAAGAGTTTGAAACACAGGAACAGATAGGTATGTGGGTAGGCGGGGACAGTAGAGCAGGGGAGTGCAAATACTGATTATACCAGCCAGAAATGGGCGTGGCTAATCTGGCTCTGGAGGATGTTTGGGGGGTTGGTAATCAGATGCCAGGGGGGGAGGGGATGTCCAAAGCAGTTGTAATTAAGTCCTTAGTTCTGACCACCATATGGCTACATTGTTTCTCATATGACACAGTTTAACTCACCAAGGCAGTTTTTCAACAAATCAGTTTCCAACAGTCAATATATAGAAACTGATCATAGAATTCCAGCCTACTAGTTACAGCCACATGTACACCCTGCACTAAATTTAAGTGAAGACTGCTACATGGAGGCCATGCAGCCACCAGGACAAGCTACTCCCTACTTTTTTTTTTTTTTTTTTTTTAAACATACAAGACAAAGCCTTGTGAATCAGAAGATTATTTCAACAGAGCATCTGATTCAAAAAGCTGTACAAATATACACACAGTAGTACACACAATCTCCTTATCACCAGCAACACATTGCGCAGTCACTAGGCCCAAACACACACACAGGATCCTCACATGCTCAACAATATCACGACGTCGCACACACAAAATTAAATCAAAAACCCACCAAAGACTATACACTCATCAATGTAACTATTATTCAAACCATACAACTATCCACGCTATTAATCCATATAAACTAACCGATCACATAACATTTCAACAAATTTCATCTCTACAATTATCTGTACTATAAATCAACTTTTGACTAACCAACTATATCACATTCTAGTAACCTCATCTTTACAGTCAGTGGTTATGGTACAGTTAGTAAGTGGTTATAATACAGTTTTAAAGTCACAGATCAGTTAGTAACAGCTATGGTATTATACATATAACATAAAACAGCAATTGTTAGTAATTTTTACACAATGTCAGTGGTTATGGTACATGTCAGTAGTTATGGTACCGTGCGCTATTTTACAGTTATACACACAATTTACACCCCCACTAGACAGCAGAGCTCTAACTTTCTAGTAGGACATACAAGTTAACCAATTCACCAACTACAATATATTTAACAACATTTACAATAATCCCAACTATTCTAACTGGCCAGCACCTCGAGAGCTTTCGATCTATTTATACACCAGAGATTCGATAAGTTCTTCACTGCCCAGACACCACGTATAGCGAACTAGAGGGCAGAATTTACACAGTACCCAGCTAGTCTATTAAACTATCAATAAGCTAGTGGCTGGATTTACAACAGAGCACACTTAGTTAAGATAGGGTGAAATCTAGCAAACTATAATATACAACAGAGTATGCTAGTCTCCCGGTCCCCCCGACCTAACGAACAAAATTTACACCCTAGATACGCTAGTCAAGACAGGACACCGGTGTCCGACATGAGCTATTTACACCAGAACTCAGTCTGACCCAAACCACCTATATTAGACGGCTGACTACAGAGCGTCTAATTTCCAGATAAGTGTTGCGCTTTCACTTCTTCCTTCTACTGAAGGGGCCAATACCAATAACCGGTTCCAAATATAAAACCCCTTGTGGGTCTACCGCTCTAACGGTATCAATCTTACCTGTTAGTCCTGGACCTGGGTTCACTCATAGACGGAACAATCTGGGACTCACTGCGCAGAAGCCGATGATCTCCTGGACAAAAGGCCAGTGGCGCCGAGACGAAAGGAGGTCCACGCAGTAGAAGTCCAGGATTGTAGCGTAGAAGGTTTGGTAAAAGTTTACCGTCTCAAATCTCTGTGCCAGCTTCCGTGCGATGAGGTTCCCGGCCCAATGCACCAGAAATGTTGCAGTGTAAGCATGCAGAAGCCAAACACAGAAATATTGGACACAGGTCTTCAGGAAGTAACAGGCCTTTATTCACATTACCGATCGGGTCTCAGATGAACTCCTGTTCCAACATTCTGAGAGACCAACACATGGTGTACATTCCTTATATAGCACTATAACTCCTCCCATTAATAGCTACACCCACATATACCTTTAACCAATCAATGAGCAGAATATAGACTTGTACATCTAGTCAAACCACATGGCTCATCCAAGACAAAGGAAATAAGTGCAATTTCAGTTCCTGCATTTCTGCACATGCTCAGTACACTGATGACAGTATCCTAGCTACATGTAGCTAACCAACTGACACAACATACACATATGCCACATGGAGATTTTGGCCTACTAAATTTTAACCATGCTGGAATCCCATCACAGTATAACTTAAAATAATGAAGGCCCCAAAATGCAAAGAGGTGAACCATGCATTGTTACTTGTTCATTATGGTGAATAATTGCATGGTTAAAGTTACCACCATCTCTAGTAACTACATTTATGCAGCATGGGATTACATAATCTGTTTATTTAACCTAGTCCATAGTTTTTGAATCTGGAACGCTATCTATACTGCTTATGTGTGTATTTTATTAATTTTATCTTCTTCACAACAAAGTTAAAACATACGTTCTTGACAGGAATCTCTGTTATTACCCTTAATGCGTATCCTTCTTCAACTTTAATTCAAATTTGTGCAATTTCAGCATGAAACATCCTCATAAATCCAGTTTTATTCATGAAGATTTCAGCTCAAAAAGATTTTCTACTCACTTTGCGGTTATATTATATTAAAAAATGGATGTTGCTCGCTTAATAGTTATTGTGGTTAGCTGCAGCAAAGTTGTCCATGGATAATGTAATGTGAAGTGACAAAAACAAGCCCTTAAAACGCTAACACACGCAAGCACATTTCATTCTTCATCACTGGGGGAGTTTGCTGTTACGTGACATTAGTCACTTTACTGACATTATTTAAATATGTTTGTTCAGCTCAATTTTTATACATTGGACCAATCATGCATATTTAAAGACAAAGTTTTGAGTTTTCTTTCTTCTTTCATAGCCAAACTGGCGGTCACTTTTAATGAGATCCTAAATATAAATGGACCTCATTGTGGGATACTGGACTATAATCTACTTACTTCCCCATGATAACATATAGGAGATGAGGACAGGCCTCAACTGTTAAACGAAGCCAGTCAGATGTTTCTTGCTGCACGTTATCTCAACTCAAACTCATGTAATACACATGAGGACTGACCAAGACAGATACCTAAATGCATGTTGCAAGAACCGATCAGACGGACACTTATATGGTATTTTCATATAAATACCATATAGTGTCAGATAGATACGTTTATATTCATGACACAATAGTTTTCCTTTTAATTAGAAATTCACCTTGAATTCACCTTGAATTCTCACTTTAATGAATAACCCTGTTAGTTTATGAAACCTTATCCTGCAACATAATGGCCACTTCTAATAAAATTAATCATCCATTAACCAATGTTGCATGTGCAAATATGTATATGATAATAAGGGTTTGACATACTGCACACAGTGCATTGCTGACAAGCAATCAGGATATGAGCATTCCCCAATTCCTACAGACAAGGCAAGCATTTAACTTCAAACTCCATGCTTTAAGGGTTAAAAGTTAGGACCTCATTACACCATAGAAAAGAGAGGACAGAACTGTAGTTATTTGAACTGGTACTGTGATTCTCAGGAGGTAGTCTAATGTTCACTGTGTGATAAACAGACTGCTTCAGAGATTAATGTGGCCCTGGATTCCTTAATTCAGTCCTGTTGCATCATCCATCTATTTCATCAAAAATCCTTGAGGAGTCTGGTCAGACTAGCAGATAACCTTCTAACACCCATCCTTCCTGTGCTTTCTATTTCCCCATGCTAGCTGCTCCTTGCCTCCTGCTGCTTTTACCCAGAGCTCAGAAAATTATGTGTAACATCTCCCACATTGTGTTCGCCAGAGGACTTGTCATTTATAATTTCCTGCACTCTGCAGAAGAACAGGTTGTCCACTCTGTCTAACCTGTTTTTTTCACTCAGACTGTGACAAAAGCTGAGAGAGCAAATCTGACAAAATTGTTCAGACACTTGAAAAGAAAAGATAGATTGAAATTATTACATTAACATTCTGCAATTCATATTTTAGGGGATGCAGGATACTTTTAAGATTTATTTAAAAAAAAATGAAATTAACATTACATCCTCACTATTATTATTATTTTTTTAAGAACCTAATGTCCCTACCATAAAATCTTTCAGAAATAATGATTCATACACAATAATATCCCTTGCACGATTGTATCATCTAATGATACAATGAATCAAATGTTATAGTTCCTATTGGAATCCTTCATGTAGTTGGATAATTTTGGTGAAAATGAAAACCTATGTTAGAGAAATATGTATCAATATATTATTTATAGGTTAACGGGGAACTGCCATTATCGTGTAGGTTACTAAAACCAGTGGGTCCTCAAGTTCCTTCTGCACACAGATTTGAGGATCAATGGTTGCTCACTACTCCCTATATATGATCTTGTCAGTGGGTTCATAAGTCCCTTGGTTCTATTGACCCCCAATAGAGGATGAGTTGATGCATCAGTTCCATGGCTCAAAGTGTAATCATTTCCATTTGAACCAGCAGAGATTTACTACAGATTTTATTGCCAAAATAATGTGATATCACCAGGCCAGCTTCAGCCACTTTTTTTGTTCTTATTTTTTTTTTTTAAAAGGGCTAGGAGTAATAGGGTGAGAGAGAGAAGAAATACAACATTGACTGATGATATTAAAACAGAGTATAGGAGGAGAGACCTCAGAGGTAACAACTAGTAAGTACATAAAGAGGGTAAGAAGTAAAGTTGGGAAATGGATAAATGAAAGAGGGAATTAAAACCGGAAGCTGCAAATTGGAGCAAGATGACGTGTATGGAAAAGGGGGCAAGTATGGAAAGACACAAAGACAATGGGAAAGGGATAGAAAGATTGCAAATGCTGGAATTTCAAGGATTCAAATGAAAAGTAAATACCCAGACAATGAGGTTTGTGAAAGCACACATAAACACAGAACAACTAAGGGACCATTAATAAATAATAAAGACATGGAGAAATACAATAGAAATAGTGCATTCAGTTCTTGTTGGCTTTCAATTGCATCCTGGGGTACTGTCATAATGAGATAAAATATACCCCACCAGGGTTGATATCCACTGCAGTCAATACCCAAAAAAGAAAAGTGTTCTACCAACAAATACTAGGATTGTGTACTAAAGATTAGTGCTATGAATGAATACAGTTATAGTGATTTTGTGCCAGTAGCGATGGGTGAGTAAAAACAAATGAGATACAATATCGCCACCTACTGAACACTGTTAGAAGAGCATGGGCTATAGACATGCATGTCTTGATGTACTTATATTAAAACAAAATCTTAATGTTTCAGAAGCAAAGCTGCAAAGTTGTAGAAAAGCAAATGAAGCTTGGAGTGACCCTTAATTTAATCCTTAATTTGACCCTAAATTGTGCAAATAGTATTTTGTGTAATACACAATCTTGATCAACAAACGAATTACCAGAAAGCTGTTATATTTACAGACAGAAATCAGCACATAGACTGTTGCTAACATATCCCCTGGATGTTGGGCAAATGTAACCTTCCTAGGATGTACTTGGAAACCAGAGTAATCTGAATGTACCTTTCCCGGTTAAATATTTTGTTACCATTAATATTATATAACCAAAACTAAAAACATATACCGTAAATACTTGTGTATAAGTCGAGAAATTTTAGTTGTAAACTTATTTTTAAAACACAGAGTAGACTTATCCATGGGTCAATGCTAGTTTTGATAGAAATTTGACTCCCGAACGCCGTGCTCCTAGCTGGGAAGTCGAATGGGCAGGGGTACAGGTTTCTGCGGGATTTGCAGGTTTGCGTAACCGACTCCCTGCATTCAGGAGGTAAGATTGTTTGAACACGTTCGTACGTATATACAAATGGCGGCCACCCAGGGAATGCTTGTTTGTGGTTAACAGCCAAGGGTGGTCGGTGATTACGAGATGTTAACAAGGGTGACCACACAGAGTCTGTTTGGACACCGAACAGAAGGGGAACAATTCCATTCAAATGCAGTATAGTAACCAAACAGAAGGGGAACAATTCCATTTGAATGCAGTACGGTAATTGAACAGAAGGTGAACAATTCCATTCAAATGCAGTCCCCTCGACTTATCCATGAGTCATAGCATATTTAACAATTGTTGGTCAAAAAAACTGCACTTTGGGGGCGTGGCCTGACGGGCGAGGCGGATGGTCGCGTAGCGCTGAGCTCCGCGCACCGACGGCCCGAAAAAGCAAAATTTTTAAGCAGTACCGGCTACTAAACTCACCACACACGACCCTCCAGACATGGCAGCACAAAAGGCCAAGAAGCAGGCAGAGAAAAACGAACGTGCCGGCTTTTTCACGACCCGAGCGTCGACACCGAAATTTATGGGCCTAGCTGACCAGGAACAAGATGGTGACAGAGGTAATGACACGCTGCCACTTCCAACCTCTCCAGGGGCACAAAACCTGCCAGTGACCCAAGACTTCCTACAGAAGTGCCTAGATAATATGTCCAGCAGGATTCTTGAAACCCTGCAAGGCACACTAAGAGAAATGAAAAGGGAGATGCAGGAGCTGGGGGACAGGACGGCACATATGGAGAACCGCATGGAGGAACAAGCCACGGTGCATAATGACATGGCAGAACATGTGAAAGATCTGCAACAACAACTTGATATCACACAGAGGAAGGTCATGGACCTAGAGGACCACTCAAGACGTCAAAACCTCAGAATCAGAGGCATCCCTGAGGAGGTAAAGCAGCAAGACTTGCACGAATACCTAATGGAGTACTTTAAGGCTCTAGCACGAGATTTACCAGCTGAAATTCTACTGCTGGATAGACACCACAGGGTGCAAAAGCCAGCGTTCTTACCACAAGACACCCCTAGGGATGTACTAACTCACCTACACTACTTCCATGCTAAGGAAGCACTACTCCAAGCAACAAGAACGGGCGGAGAACCACCACAAAAATACAAGAACATCAAAATGTTCACTGACCTCTCTGCAGCCACATTGCAAAAAAGAAAGGAATTTAGGGAAACAACAGAAACCCTCCGCTACAACAATATACAGTACAGGTGGGGGTTCCCAATCCGCCTTCTAATTAGAAGAAATGGAATGGTGACCACAGTGAACACTCCGGAAGAAGGCCGCAAACTGCTCTGCCGAATCCGGAGAGGAAAGACGCGACTGCAGCGCAAAGAATGCCCCCAGAATGGAAAAAGAACAAAAAATGAACTGACACAGAGACAGTTTTCCTTCTGCTGATGACACCGGGGCAGAGCCTGAAGTCTGGCAGAAAGTGAGGCGCAAGTATTCCCAGCACTACATGTCTAACTACGAACACCCAGGGCCACACACAACACACACACTCAAGCACACACAGGAAAAAAGAAAGAGAAGAAAAAAAAAGCCAGGAAGGCTTGACGAGCACATGAACCACAAACACACCAAAACACAAAGCCCATAAACACAGTAAAAGAAAGAAAAAAAAAAAAGTAACATAAACCAGTAAACTACACGCCACAGCAATAGCCGGTAAACACACAGTGCAACCAACACACCACGTATGTGAATACCGATGGAAAGATTCGGGCACCTTAGGTGCAACCAACTACACCACACCTTAGAAGTCGACAAAGTAACCACGCTCACATCTTGCACTATCACGATAGTGCAACACCCTTCAGTGGGAAATGTATACTGAAATGTTTGTTAATGTATACACTTATGTTTTATTCTATGTGAATGTTATGTATGATGTTTGTATAGCTAATTCCTTAGTCCTACCCCCTACCATCCTGAACCCGACCCCAAGCATTGCAGAGCCCCGCAGAGGGAACCACGGGGGCAACATATACAGGGACCCCTGGGAGGGCCGGTATACCACCATGGTGACATATACACGGACAGAAAGAACCAATACCTGTAAAATACATTCATTAAAATATGAAACTATATAGCCACAATGTTAAGGGGTTGAACACCACAGTAAAGAGATACTGTCTCACCAGAGACCTGCGCAAAACACGTCCGGACATAGTGTGCTTACAAGAAACGCACCTTAAGCAGGCATCCAACCTAGCACAAGCACAGTACCTGGTACAATACCACAGCACTGCCACATCAAAAACTAAAGGGGTATCTATATTGATTAGCAAAGAGGTATCTTTTA